ATGCTAAAGCCAGCAGGGCCAGCAGGCAGCCATACAGGTGATCAATCAGCTCCATTACAGCCGTGTCACTGCAGAGTCTGGAGCTGTCGCCACATCCCACCCATCGCCCGTCCACACACACAGATGCAATCACATCCTTGCAGTCATCACTTATGGGGTCCGTGCATAGACTTGCATTCATTTCCTGGAGACTCACCCTAACTTTAACCAGAACCGCTACTGGTCTAAGCTTAACCAAAGCTGACACCTGCTCTAACCTTACACCCCATTGTTTTTGTAAAATTTGCCTGACTACCAGCCTCTGGTCACCACAGGTGATTTCTGGTCCCTGTGAAGATAGGAACACATGGATTTCAGGCCACACAAGTATAGAAAAACAAAGCCACACACACACATACAGACACTGCTCACTTTATTTCTATTCTAGACTGCAAATATCACCCATTGGGATGAAACTAGCCCACCAGAGCAAACCACACAATCTAGTAACTGTTATGTACAAATGATACATTTCAGAGAAGTGGTGAGCACACAGGCATCTTGTTAGGGTGGGATTTGCCCCTGGCCAGTGAAGACACAACCAAGGTGTTGTGACAGAGCTGAAGCACAATCTGATTCACTCCCTTTGAACTGTACCGAGACAGAGCTTTTCAAAGCACCTAAAAATAGGACCAGCTCTATTGTGATTGGTAAATAGCACACAGAATGAACTAAGGCACATTATGCAGCAGACACTTGTAGTGGCACCATTCGTTTTTCTACAATAAGCTCAAAATATCTCCGCACAGCCTGGAGTGTCACAGATGCCAGGCAAACATCAGACAGGTATCCAAACAATGGACTTATCTCAGTCAGCGCAAGCAGCACAAAATGGGAACATGGAGCAGCCGAAGTAGGAGGGGAGGTGGTGGATGGGGAGGAGAGCAGGAGGCAGAGAATATGTGATGCACAGTGCCACACCAGCTAGCCAGCGGGACATTAATGACAATCATGTCTTGTCACACTAGCTGTTGGGCCAGTCAGCAGATCCTGCACTTGTCCCTGCCCTTCTTCAATCAATGGCATTGATCTGTCCCAGGGGTCAAGGGGCAAGAGCGTATCAATAGAAGGAGAGTGGCTGATGCAGCAGGCGGAGAGGGGCTGACTCCAGACAGATCAATGACACCCCCCGTCTGCCATCGCTGTGTTATGATTATTCATTTGCCATTAACCTGATCACATTAAGGCAATATGTTTCCATGGGAAGAAATAGTGCTTGAGGCTGTTCGCTTTTATAGGGATGTGAGATTTTATGAGTTGGGGTGCTAAAGTATCAGTCTGGCCAGAAAATGACAGTGTTCTGGTCTCAGACAATTTGTTACTAAGGTCTCCACTCGCTGGTGACGTAAAAACAAGGAGCCAATCACTGATCTCAGAGCGGTTACAGATGCAAGCAGCAATTGGCTCATTTTACCAGTATTTTGTGACTGAGTCTCGCTCCCTGTAATAGATTATAGTGGCCCTTGATCTCAGGTAGTAAAAGACAGCAATCAGTAATTTCAAGGCTGTCTAATTGATAATATTTTTCAGCCTACACGCAGTGCCAAGCACTTTCTGCTATATTTTAGAATACCAAATTCAATAAAGAGAATCTTCATTTTGTTAAATATTAAAGTCAGCTAAAGGCCCCTGAGGCTTCTGGCCAGCCGACTTCTCAAAGAGGCTGTTACAGCAGACAACTGAAGGAAAAAAAAGTCAGTGGCCTGAACTGCCCCTATCTTATCCCATAATTTATTTGTTCAACCATCCCATAAGTGAAGGTCTAGCTGGAACCAGTGACTTTTAGCTGTGCTGCTGGGGCAGTTGGACAGGGGAGTGCTGAGGCAGCAGGATTCTCAGCAGTGATGCTTTCCTCTGCACATCTGGAGGAATGATTTGGTTTCAGAGGTGAGGAGAGATGAGAAAATCACAGTTGTTACAATAAACTCAAGCAAGAAACATCTTGACTTTTCTGGTTCTGTTAAATGTGTGAGAGCTAAAGAAGAGGAAAGAGATTTTTTTACCTGAACTGTATATATTTCTGATTAAATGAAGAAGATAGATTTTGTCCTGCCTAAACAAATTCTTCACTTCAAGCTGACTAGCATGATATACTGCCCACTTCTGAGCAGCTTTCTGACTGTATTTCCTGTGATTGGATCAGAGCAGTGATGTGGACCCTGGTGATGTTGGGTAGAGTGAGAAGGTGTGATCTGACTCTGTCGCTGCAAAACAGGAAATAAAAGGAGTTCTTGGGTTTCGAGGGATTTACCAGGATCATATTCCCTCACAAAAACCTGTTTGATGACAGTAACTCTGTTAGCGATGCAAAGCTGAGCAGGGTCTCTGGGCTTCAACAGAGGTGTTAGTATCACTTCACATTTAATTACTGGTGATCTAAAAAGAGCTGTTTCCAGTTAAACCCCTTCAATGTTTGCATAGACAGGAAATAATAAAGGAGTTTTCCAGGACTGTCTGCATGTTTGACTGCTCTGACTACTAAGGTAGTCCATTTGTAAAGGTTTGGGTCTGTGATCTAAATTTAAACTATGATATTTCTGTGAAATCAGTTTGTATTATTATAAATTTAGTGTATACACAATTCTTAAGTTGAAAATAATAAAAGAGCAAATACAGTGTTTAGAGACTTGTAAATGACTGCAAGTTTGATATTTCAAAGTGTACCAAATCATCTGGCTTAGTACGCAGCCAGTTCAGTGGAAACTCTGAGCATCAGAAACAGGACAAAAAATGCAATCTCATCCGCTTGAAACCAAAGAGCTAATTGGATAAATAACCAAGGTTGCAGAGAGGTGGTCCACTCAGCCCCGGCCTTAAGCACAGCAAAAACAGCATCATCCATCAAACTGAAAAAACACTGTCACAGTGATGAAGAACTAAAGCAGAAATTACAACAACGCTCCGTACTCAAGCTGCATTTCAAATCCAGTCATCCTGGATAGCAACAAACTGTGGTAAATCATGAGCTTTTTCTCCTCTGTGGGGCTTAGGATTCATTTTACAAGCCGTGGCTTCGTGCCAGACAGACATGAAGTCAAACACATTCGGCCTCGTGGACGAGTCTACAGTAAACGGAGACTTCAGTGTCACCGATGCAAGCTTCAACCCGAAACCTAACCTCACTGCACAAATACTCACTGAATGGGCGTGTGGACAATACTGTATATCACAGGGCCCAGAAACAACATATAAACATTCTGATTTTGCTACAACTGAGGAAGCTTGGGGCAAAAAAGCTTTACACATAGTGATACTGTAGGTGTGATGATCTGACCCCTCTCAAATCTCTGAGAAATGTGTGTTCCCTGAGTCAGCGGCCAAAAATTAATAAAATGTAATGTGCAAATGGCACTGCAGTAAAACCACAGGGCATGACAGTCACCAGGAAGAACCTGCTAAACAGAACAAGTCAGATTTATTATGAATATTATAGTTTACACTTTGTATTTATATTGAACCATCTGTGCATCACAGTGTTTGGCACACAGCTCACATGCGAGAGATTCAGAAGATGCGACTGTCCCATGCTGACTAAACAGGCTGAGGTGTAATACCAGGCCGCAAAAATAAAACAACAGTTTAAAAAGTGGAGCCATCACTGTGAAATAAGTTCCTCCACACAATGACACCCTGGTGAGAAAATAGCAAATTCCAAGTAAAACAATAAATAAAGCTTAGCTACAACATTTTAACACCAACATATTTACAACTGCAGCACATGAAAGACTTGAGAGATCAAAACGCAGTATTGGTCAACAAATGAATCTTAATTGGCTGATTTAGTAGCATAAGACCGCACTTATTCATAAGATTTGTCTTTCATTGATCAATTGTCATTTCATGATCTTGATGTAACAGAACTTAGAAGCAGGTAGAGGAAAATATTAGACTGCTTGTGTGTTTAGCTGTTTTGCAGTTAAAGGAATACCGCAATGCAACTGATTCAGTCCGTCTAACACAGATCTGGAATTACAGTACAGCATTTGCCAAGCTAACTCTAATTGAAGGTTTTGAAGGTCAGCTATGAAATAGGACACTCAGGTGGGCAAAACGACATTAATATAAAGACCATAAAGACCATTAACACTATGTGGAGGCACTGTAAAATGAAATCTCTGAAACCTTCCATGCTGATGCTGCATTATAAACAAAGCTGTTTTATGTACAGACTGATGTCATACGTGTACTCCAAGGAAAGCTAGAAGGTTGTACAGTTAACTCCCAGGGTGTAATTCTAAACCATACAACCTACTACCTCAACCCGGATGCACACATTTTCAACTAGTGTTCCTCTTCTCTACTTAGTAAACAAATTACATCATCCTACAGCCAAAATGACCTTTTGTCCTCCTTATCTCCAAAAACCATCATCACATCATCATATTTCAGCTTTAACCTAATGTAAGGTAACTAACAGAGAAGCTAAGAGGTGGACCGCCATGATATTATTATCTATAATGAACACCTATACAAATCACTTTTACAACCTATGTTATTAAAGCAAAAAGAAAAATGTTGAAACGGCGTTCACACCACAGTGACAAAGACCCACAGAGGCGAGCTTGTGCTGTCAGATTGGCCACAAGATCGGATCTACGGGTTTGTGCCAAATGGTTATGACCAAAGTAGCAAAAAAACTGAATAAATCAAAGTAGTGTAGTCTCTGATAATGCCACAAAGAACTACACAAGTGTGTGTGTGATGTGTCTCCAGTGATGTCCCAGAGAGATGCCAATCAAAATAGATTTGACCTCAAACCGTCTGTCCTTGTGTAATAAACATCATTTGCAATTCTTCACTGTTCACATAAATGAATGACGGTGACAGTTATTCAAAAGGCTGTGAGCAAAAGTCTGAGATCAGTTCAGTTTAGCTGGCATTTAGAGAAACTGCAGCTCGACCATTTGCTGCGACCCTAAAATGAAAGTTACCAAACAGATGGTGAGACTGTGACAACTTACCCTTCATGGATGTGTCGTACTCAGGGGGTTTCGCTGCCGAAAGTGAACTTTTAGTTCTTCTCTCTAAAACAGAAATAAGAGATTTGCTTTTAAATAACGCCCAGTGGTATGTAGGCACGGTTTTTATTAGGGCTGGTGCTGCATATGTAGATTTACTTTTAACACCAGATGAACAGTTACAGTGTTTAATGTGATACTAGCAACACTATCAGTAAACTGCACATAAAACCAATGAGTGGTATGATGGTATGACAAAAGAAAAAAGGGAGTACTGCCTGCTCGTCACTGTTCTTACAACATCAGGTCCACATGGGAAAGAAAAAATATTCAAACACAAACTACTGTACATTTATAATCTGCTGTGCCTTGGTTTGGGAGCATCACATGCCTGAGCAGTTTCCACATAGGAAATTAAGAACATAATAATTAGAATCAAGCCTCCGTTGTGGACTATTATCCCAAACTACCCCACAGAACTGCCTTAGCAGTGATGTGCTGTGGTGAGAGGCTAGCTCAACAGAGCCAAGACCGTAGATAGCAGAGAGCAGAGCCTGAGAGGAATGCCAGTGCAATCGAGCATGCCATGGTCAGCCACCATTAACTGTGCCAGTGCCAGAGAGCCACAAACAACCAAATGTTCCTACGGCCACAGTACAACAAAGGAAAAGTCTGAGTTGAGAAGAGAGTGAAAATGCCACTTACCCAGATTTCTATTACCCTGTCTGATTCATCATCAGTGTTCTTCTTTAACCACACTTTCTACCCGGACATGAGCAATGAGCAGCAAGCTCTTTTTTTTTGTAATGAGAGGAATCATTAAAAGACTGCAGGCCACTTCCAAACTAAGCTCACTGACTGACAACCTACTGGTTCAGTTCAGTGAAGCGTCATCCGCCATTTTCTCCAAAACAAACAAGAACAAGAGAAGAAAGAACTGGATAAAAACGATTTGCTGGCATCATTATTTAAAGTTTCCCCCCTTTCTCCCTCTGTGTGTCTTTCTCTCTCGCACTTGCTTGGCACCATTACACAATCTTGGCTGGAAAGATCACATGATTTCCTACCAGAAAGCCACAGCATTCCCAATACGTATTCTGCTGACATTGTGAAGACATCTTTTGTCTATATCAAAACGTAAGCCCGGACTGCCCCCTCCCAAAATCTGGCACCTTCTGGGTGGGGGGTGGGGGCAATGCAAAGGGTGGTGTTAGGAGTCATGGCAACCTTTACCTGGCAGGCTGCCCAGCACCCCGAGGTGGAGAGGCTGCTTAAGATTTCAGCTCAGATGACAGAATTTTTTTGACAGAAACAAATCCAAAATACAAAAGAATTGGATGCATGAGCAACTAATGCCAAACTCAAACTGTACCTCCTGATTCAAATAAAACTGAAACCACAGCCAACAAACACCAAATCAGATTCATAAAATATCAAATTAGTCAAGTAATGCCTCTTGTTAAAGAGTACAAAAACAGTGTACTGAGGATATGAGGAACTTCAGGGGATTATATAATCAGCAACTCACTTATTTTTCTCAGTGCACTGCATTTATGTTCCCGTTAAATTCCTGCTTTCTTCAGTGAGTGAAGTAGACTAGCTCTGACTTAAGGCCAGAATTTGAGTATGAATGCATCAACAACAGACAGACATCTTTTCCCATGCTTCTGCACTTCAGCCAGAACAATAGCCAAACACAATCAGATGGTTTGTTATGCTATCACAAGAATGTCATGGACCTGTGAGTCACTGAAGAGCAAGTTATCCACCAGAAACCAGATTAAAGTTCTGCTCCGAGAGCCTCTCATTCGCCAGCTTGCTCACTCAATTTAACAGCATCTGCCATATTTGCTCAACTCGGTTTGTGATTAAATAATTAGAAGGCCAGTTTGGCTATTTAATAATTTTGTTTCTCTGATTGTGATTTTTCTTTCTCGCTGTTATACACATATAAAATGGATTTCCTTCAGATACGACCAAATTACAGCCACCGAACAACTGACAACAGCTGAGATACAGAGGATGGTGGCACCGAATAAACCAGAGATTAGAGCCTGATTTGAGACAGGACACATCTGTGTGCATGTAACATGCAGTGGGAAAATACAAGCTACTTGTGTATATCGGAGCAGGTCTATTTGTTATGCAGTGACGCGTCATTTTAGTGAGTGAGGACATCAGTAAAAGTTAGGTAAGACTTTGCAGCAAAACATACTGCTCTGGCACTTTGGTTCAGTAAAAAAGTTGAGAAATTGAATTATGTTGGTTAGTGAAGCAGATAAAATGTAAGCAATCAAGTGCAAATACAAAAGAACATTCATGTAAAATCAACTGTGACCAGTCTGTCTGCGACTGACACCACAAAAAGATGTGGTGGCCAGGACGAACAGAGGAACGTGTCTTTTCCATGGTGGTACAAGGACCATCTTGGTGGTCAAGCTGCAAACTGTTTTATCATTCATTCTATGCACAACACCATTAGCACAAAAGTGCAAGGAGAGGTGCAAAAAGTTTGGAGATGCACATAAATCATCAAAACACCAAGATATTAATTTGAAATTAAACCAGTATAGACATGCACAGCATTTACACAATAATGGTGAATAATGTGAACAAACGCTCCGATCCGACATTCTCCAACCAGTAGACAGATTTAGATCGACATCTAAGATACAAGCGTAATGACACTATAATTCCAATAAAGCAGGCTGCATTAAGCTCAAGGTTAATGGCCAGTTTTTACTTTTATCTGTCATCAATGACTGCTTGTAACAAAACTCTCTCCAGCTAAATAAATCCCTACAGTCACCTAAAATCAGCAGTACAGATGTGTGTTGCACCAGCGGCATCCACCTTGAGAAGCTTTGTACCAAAGCACAGCACCACCCCATTGAAGAATCCATTGTGGTTATATTGATTTAGTTATGTGCAGTCAACGCCTATTGCTGCAAAAAAACAACAAAACAAAACAAAAAACATCTGTGCTTTGCTGCACATTAAACTGGTCAATTGCGACTTGTAATTCTATTTATTGCAATTCAGCAGTTACAGTAAACAGTGACATCCTGGGTTCACACTGCTGCTCTGCACCTCAGCAACACAAGATTATTTTACTGTACTGAAAAGCCACTTTCATCACTCTCTAATGATTGGCCTCTCTGCTTTTTTGAGTTTGGGGTGAGTGTTATGAGCGGCTGAGAAGCCTGTGATTGACCACAGCACCTTCTTTATATGCCATTTCACACGACCATTTTACACTCAGCGCACTTAATAAAAGAAAACAAAGTGCAATTACATACACCTTCATTGTCTGCACACATGATTAAATGTGCAGACCTCTTGACAAAATGGCCATACAGCTTTCTGAGCTCCTCATCTGCTCCAGCCTACATTTAACAGACTCAGCTAAACCAGTTCCAAAACATTCCCCCACTGAGAGGTTCAATTTCATATCCTGAAAGGCAGGAGGCCAGGGTCAAAGTTCAAACAAAAAGACTTCCCTTGGGAATGGAAAATTCCATTTTGAACCAGACAGGGGTGAAGAATTCAGACTTCCCATCCTGGTAATGCATAAGATGTCATAAATTTATAGTCAGTGGGGGAGGGGAAGAGAGAGGTGGGAACACAAACAATACGCACAGAAATGAAAAACGAGAGGAAAAAGTTCATATAAGCATATTTTGGTTTTTACTAAATGCCCTGGTAATATACTCACGCTGTAACATATGGCTGCATACACTAGTAACAGGAACATTAAACCATTAACCAACAAAAGAGGCAACATCTGAGAAATCCTTTTTATAACCTTTAGGCAAAAAAGACACTGATGTTCACTTTATATGAAAGAAAAGACTGCACAGTAGGTCATCATAGTCTCCCTCTTTATAAAATGAAAACGAACGTGGCATTGAATTGTTCATCTGACAACTGGCAATTTTAAAAGTCTAACATATTAGACATTTTTGTTATCTTTACCCAAACCATACATACTGGCAGCCAAAAACTCTGACAGAGGATAATTTGTGCTATTTTATTCTCCACAGACACACCAGAGACAGGGTGTTATTTTTGGCTCAAAGACCTTATCTCCATTAATTTAATGTTGCCTCAAGCTGTGACAGAAAAACAGTCAACAGGTTAATCAAGACAGAAGTTTATACAGTTCAGTCTAATACCCATCCAGTCCTTTCGTGGTGTCTGAGTATGTGTATTGAATTTCCAAAGATAAAATAACACAGTTAAAAAAAACCTAGATCCTGAAGTTTGACATTCTGCTCTGAATATTTTGGATAACTCTGTTTCCTGAGTTATTGTGCATACTGGAAAGAAACTGCACACTATGACTGGCAATGGGAGAGCTGAGGTTGCACACAGGACTTACTGTGCTTCCCCTGCAGAGAGGCCTAGTCTTACTGTGCCCTGCTCTGGCCCCTCAGCGTTCAGCCTCTTGCAAACTGCATTCACAAAGAAAAAATCATCTTTTAGTTTAAGAACAAATACAGTTTGTTGGCACAAAAACTACAAACAGGAGTCTTTGCACAGATGCTGCAAGAGATATAATGTGTGGTTGTACCATTAATACTAATTTTGGCAATCTACTTGTGAGCTCTTTGATGTACACAGAGCACACAAACTTCTATTTATAAGCAGCACCGAAAAATATAGCTTAATCGGGTGCAAAAGTCAACAACCTTTCAGTCATGACCGCAGCACTGGGTTCTTTCTATTGTAGCAAATCACAACAATGTTTCTTGGGATTCCGGCTTCAGAAGAGAATTGTTGATGCTCACAAATCTTGCCTAAGCTGTTTAAGAGGACAGGCATACTGTTTTATGACTGTTGAACCGGGGTGTAATGTCTCTTTAAAAAGCTAAAAGATCCTTGCCGTGCAGCCAGCGGTGACTTTGCCTGACCCACCTGTCTGTTGATCTTGTTGCCTAGCGCCAGACTAAACACTCAGATTTTCATCAACACTTATTGGCTGCAGCTGACCAGCCAACAGCCAATCAGCACACAGGGAGGGATGGATGGAGGGCAAGAATCAGACTGGGAGAATAAAAGGGAAA